GGATGGGACCAGGATCCCCACCCTACCCCATCTGTTCTCTATAGGCTCCAAGAGCTACCCCAGAGACCTAAAACAGAAATAGCTGGGGCCTCTTCCCAGATCCCTAACTTGGAAAGTTTTTGTCTCCTCTCTTGTCCAACCAGGTCAAGGTAAAATGTGAGTCGACAGCTCAGAGCACTTGGAGCTGCTGCCCCTCTCCCTGCCTCTACTCCCCAGAATGGGATCACGGGATAGAGAGGGCCTCCGTGGGGGCAGAGGGCACAGTACTTCTTGTAACTATTTTTATTTGTTTCACCCTTCGTGACCTGCGAACAGATTTTTCTCTGATGGGAAAGCCAGGCCCCCGCCAGCACACGTGCTGTTTTTGATGCTCTGTGGTTCTTGTGTGTCTGCTGTGCTGTGCAAACGGAGACGTGTTTCCAAATTAAAACATTTAAAAACCTGCATAAAAAGAGCTCTAAATCCCCCCAACAAAAGACACTACATAAACTGTTGAGCAGTATTCACCTATCAGAGTATTTGTTGTGAGTGTAGATTATCAACTGAAAACACTACTCTTGTGTTCTTAATTGTACAGTTTTCGATGTCCATCTCTGAAAGAGACAGTGTGTTCTCCCTACCCCCGTCCCATCTTCCTCCACCCTCCTGAGGGACTTCATTGTCAGGAGGGATATCCAGGGTGTCTCCCTCCTTCCCGTTCTCTTGGCCAGAAGTTACCAGACTATACTGTCTCTTTAAAACTAAAATTTAAAAAGCTTTGCTTTGTTGTCTTCTCAGACATACATATGCATATACGTTTTAGACGTTCTTATAAAAGATGGTTTTTAAATGTGCCAAGTTGTGTATATATATACATATATATATCTGCTGCGTGATTGGTAAGCAATACAATAGTCAACATGTCCCCATTACTTTTTTCTAATACTGGACCAATGCTGTCCTGATTGTACATTTCCCCTTACGATGATGACGCTCTGACTCGTTTAGGTAGAAACATTGACCACCTTCCATTCCATTGAATTTTTTTTTCTTTTACCTCCTTTCTGTGTCAATCTTGAGGACAAAACAAAACAAAACAAAACAAAAAGACGGGATGCCAGAGATCCCCTTGAGCAGAGAAAAAAGCAGAATAAATATTTTATTAAAGAAAAAAGAGAATTAAGAAAATAGTTTGGAGTATTTTCTTACTGTAGAGAAGCACTGTACATTACTGAGAGACCTGGGTATAAGATACTCACGTGTGGAGTTGGAAAAATCGCATGTCCAAGCCCGTCTGAGTGGTTTCTTTGGGTTTTCATTGCAGGGATAGGGTGGGAGGGAGGTGGGAACAGGGGCACTTTGGGGGTCTCCTTTTAGTCAAAAGCAGGAAAGTGACAAGAAAGAGAAGATTAAAACTCGATGTTTCCTTTAATAGTGTTAAACACTAAAATTTTAAAAAAGACATAAAAAGAAAAAAAAACTTTTAAAATGCGAGAACAGAAGCAAAAGACACTACGCTCTGTCATTTTCTCTTTCTTTTGTTGAAAGACTAAAAACTGAAATGTTTTTTAGACAATCAAATGTTAGGTAAGTGCAAAAACTTGTTTTTTCTTACTGGTGTAGAAATTAATGCCTTTTTTTATTTTTCGGTTATTTTATAATAACTAAATAAAAAGAACCCCCCAGCTGCCAGGCGGGTTTTGGTGTTTGAAATGCGGGGCAAAGCACTACATCACTGCAAATAGATACAGAGTTAGTCTGCATGTCTGTAGGCTGTGTGATTGCGGAAAATATAAATGCTGCTAATATATTTCCTTTTTACAAAAGCATATCTAAATAGATGATTGTTTTGATGTTAATCTTTGTAAATTATGTATTACCAATTTTAACATTGGATGTAATTGCATAAAAAGCTTGCATCTCAATCCTTGAAAGTCTAGTATTAAATGGAAAAACTTTTCCTAACTGTGGAGTGGTGAGCTTGCGATTTTTTCCTCTTTCCTGCCCTCCATTTATCTTCCAGGATCTCCTCCGGCCTGTTTCTAAAGGGATCTTCCTAAAACCACATCATCAGCTTCCTGGGCCCCACAGGCGCCTACTCACCCGTGGTTGGCTACTGGATAAAGCCAGTGCCTTATTCCCAGGGTCCTTCTAGTCTCGGCCCAGCCTACCCAGCCGGCACAATCAACTGCAGCACATGTCCAGCTGTCTCTCAAACATGCCGTGCTGCCCTGCGCCTTCCTCCCTGCACAGCAAGCATCATCTCATCCCATGCTCGTTAACAACCTCCAAGGTGGGCAGCAAAAGCTTTAGACCACATTTTCCAGGCCACTGTGTGTTAGACCAGAGCCCTGGTGGCACAGTGGTTAAAGCGCTAAGCTGCTAACCGAAACGTCAGCGGTTCGAATCCACAAGCTGCTCCGTGGGAGAGCAATGTGGCAGTCTGCTTCTATAAAGGTTTACAGCCTTGGAAACACTATGGGGCAGTTCTGCTCTGTCCTGTAGGGTTGCTATGAGTCGGAATTGACCAGAAGGCAGTGGGTTTGGTTGTAGATGTATTAGACCACTTCCACTCTAAGCTGTTTACATGTATTCTTTTTTTTTTAATGCTAACAACAGCCCTTTGAGGTAGCTACCATATCCCGATGTTACAGGTAGGGAAACTGAAGCAACAGAGAGGTTAAGTTACTGGTCCAGGATCAGTTGGTTAATCCTTCAACCTGGTTAGTCCTCTAAAGTCATTATTCACATTTTGTAGAAATAAAAACTGAAGCTGAGAGAGGTTAACTTGCCAAAGATAACCTACTAACTAGTGTTGGAGCCAGAACTCCAAAGTCTGTATTCTCATCCACAAATAGAACAGTATGAGAAATAACCGAAGTGACCCTATAATTAAGGAAGATAAACCCACTCCTGCCAACAGCTGGAAGGCTCTACAAAATGTTTGTCCTGGACATGGGCCAGACGTTCAGTCTGGGAGTTCAGCTAGAATCCAGTTGCTGAAGCAGCAAGACAGTTGGCTGCAAGAGCACTGTCTCTACTCGGACAAGGACTCGAGGTTCAAGTCTCCGGCTCAAGGCGCCCCACAGCCACAACTGCAAAAACAATACATGAATAGTTAAATTTTTTTAAGTCTTTTGTTTTTAACTTTCGTTTAATCCTCAGTATCTACTACAGCTGTTCTAGGTAATATAAAATAACCCGTTGCCGTTGAGTCGATTCGAACTCATACAGCGACCCTATAGGACAGAGTAGAGCTGCCCCATAGGGTTTCCAAAGAGAGACTGGTGGATTTGAACTGCCGACCTTTTGATTAGCAGCCAAGCTCCTAACCAGTGTGCCACCAGGGCACGAGATAAACATAATAGTACAAACTAAATTTTAATCATTGTTTGCTCCATTTCATGGTGTTCTGCAAGGAGGTCCCGCTGCTCTACTGCCTCCTGCATAAGCCTGAGAGCCATTAGGCAAATACCACATCAGGCCAGATCTCACTGCTCTAACAATGTTACTCCAGGATTCTTCCCAGGTTATTTGGGATTACTCACTCTACAACCAAGCATTTGGGAATAGGAGTCAGAAAAGTGAGCACGTCGAGTTGTGGGAAATGAAGGTCCTGTATCAGTGTGTCTCAAACTTTGGAACTCACGGACCTCCCAAGATTACCCCACAGATCTCACTTTGAGAAATACTGGTCCCAAAGTCAAAGGAATAGCCATCTTCCATGTTAGCCACTTTATAACTTTAAACGTTACAAAGAGAAAATTGGGAATTCCCAGAGACACTCCAGCCTGAGAACCATCAGAAAACCCCTGAAATACAAACTAAGGTCTAAAGATGAGGGGAGAGCTAAACAAAAAGCAGAATTAAAGCAAGGAGCAGATGAATGACGACAGTCTGAGGCATCTCAGGGTAACCAAGCTGCTCCTGAGTACTTTCACATTTTTGAGTCTTAAGATCTTTACTTCCCTCTCCCATCCCCACCCATTGTCCTCTTCAACCAGGCTCCCAAAGATGAGGGAAAACTCCAGATGCCTTTGCCTTGTGTTTCACATGGTTCTCAGCATCCCCCTATCTCTCTCTCCTGCTGCCTGGTCATAACTTCTAACCTTCTAGACAATCCTTTCTGATGCCCAACTCTCCTCTCGAACCTCTGGAGCATCTTGTAGCTATTCTCCTTATTTCAAAAGAGTGAAAGACTAGCTCCTAGAGTAAAGTAACAGATGTTAAGCTATTTAGCATTTTCCTGAAATTGCCTTTGCACAGTGGCAATATTAATTAAATAGTAAAGACTGTCACGTCACGCAGTCCTTTAACCCTTCCCTTCACCTCAGATACGCACCTAGTAAGTACAATTTCCAGGGCTAATTCCACCCTAAAAAAACCAAACCCATCGCTGTCGAGTCGATTCCAACTCAGAGCGACCCTATAGGACGGAGTAGAACTGCCCTAGAGTTTCCAATGAGCATCTGGTGGACTTGAACTGCCAACCTTTTGGTTAGCAGCCATAGCTCTTACGCCACCAGCGTTTCCCCCCACCCCCCCTTCCCCAGGGAACAGTAAAAGCTGAACAAGGGTTAGGAAGGAAGCCATCTCTCTTGGACCTCTTGTGAGAGGGCCTCCCTCCCCTCCCCCCAGCCTGCGTCCTGAAACCCACAGTGACACACACCCACACACAGTTTCAACTCCCACACTTTATTGGGACAAATGAGGAAGGAAACAGACCAACACCACAGGCCCACCCACCAGGGGTGTCCAGGCTTCAGCACCCACTACAGCAGGAGTGGTCAATAAATAGAGGTGACACGGGGTGGGCAGAGTGGGGAAGAGTCCATACACAGGAAGGAGGCTAGAGCCCCTTCTGGCCGTGGGAGCCAAGGCATATACTGTACTGGCACAGTCCACTCACGGATGAGGAAGAGAGACGCTCCCTTGCAGAGTTGAGAAAGAGACGGATTGCATGGAGGGGAATTCCTTTTTACATATTTGGAAGAAGGGCAGATTTCACCTTACAGATGGGCATGGGAGGGAAGAAGGAAAGTTTATTTTAAATATTAGCAGAAATGGATGTGGGACTTTGCAGACAGGGAAAATGTTTCTGGGATGACTGGTTCACACGGATTAGTGCTCATGGGCCATTCCATTCCCAGGTGACAGGAGGGGGACATATGCAGGAAAGGGCCCCAGGGCTACAGAACAAGGGAGGTATACCCCACAGGCACCAGCCCCTCCACTCCATCCCGCCCACAGCGGAGCCAGTCTTCATCCACCGTGGCAATGACGCGCAGCACCTCCCCACGCTGGAAGCTCAGCTGGTCCGGTCCTGCAGCTGTGTGGTCACAGAGAGCCCGGACTGCCCTGAGGGGAGCCAGAGGGAGATGCTGGCGTGAAGTCGGCCTGGAGGCAGCACCTCTCCACTGTGTGTGGAGTGTCCCTAGTGGTTCAGCTCAGTGAACGCTGACTGGGCTCTGGAAGTGACTTAGGGACCATCGACATATTGACCTACCTGGGCCCCAGCCCTCGCCTGAGCCCCAAATCCACTCTTCAGCTGCTTGCTCTCTGCACTATTTGCACTTCTCTCTGGTGGTGCTTCAAATTCAACATATGTAAACTAAGTGGTTCCATCTTAACCTCCACACCAGTCCCTCCTCTTGTGTCCCCCACAGTGGATCCCATAGTGGGAAACGGCACCATCTTCTACCCAGCTGCTCCTTGTAAAACTCAAGCATCATCTCACATCCAACCCATCACCAACACTTGTTTGGTATTTAGCGTTTCTATCTCCTACTGCTACGTCTACTCTCTCTCTTCAACTCCACTGCCACCATCCTAGCTTAGGCCTCCATCCTCTGTCTGAACTTCTGCATATTGTCTAACTAGTCTCTCTGAATCCTCTCTTGGCCTCCCTCCCCAGGCGCCCCCTCCACACAGCAGTCAGAGATCTTTCACAAACAGAAGCAGGCGCATCACCTCCAGGCGACATTCCATGGTTCCCACTACCTCAGAATAAAGTCCAGGCTCCCTCGCTGGCCCACTGAACCCTCCAGGCTCCCCGTGACCCTGCTGTCAGCATCCTCCACTCCAGTCTCATGTACCCACGCCTGGGCCTCCCTAGCTTTGCATCCTGTTCCCCCTGCCAGATGCACACCCCCATACTATCACTGAGCCTTCCCTGAGCCCCAAAGCCTGGGGTAGAAGCCCTGTCTATATGGGCCCAAAGGACTCAGTCTTCTTTCCTAAAGTCTCAACCACACAAGGTTGATTGCTCATTTATCCATCAGCATCTCTCGCTGGACACCAGTTCCTTGAGGGCAGGGACTCCAACCCACACAATGCTTGGCACATAGCAAGTACTCCAAAAAACAGCTGAATGAATGAAGAATCAAGAAGCTTACTTCAACCTATTGAGAGAAGTCAAAGAATACAAGGCCCCAAACTAAAAGCAGTACCTGGTGCCAATCAGAAGACCCCACTAAAAGGAAGCACAGTCCCCCAGTGGGCACACACAGGCACATGTGTGTACACACACAATAAAACTCAGCACCTATTATATGCCAAATGCTTTTATGAAATTCTTTAGTCTTCACAAAAACTGTAATAAAAAGGTATTACAATTATCCCCGTTTTAGAGAGAACAAAAACTAAGGCTCAGAGAAATTAAGTGTCACACAAATAAGTAGCCAAGATTCAGTGCAAACTAAGCATTCTGACAAACTAATGTACGTGTGAAGCCCAGCCCGGGGTCCTTTACGTTACCTCCCTACCCCTCTGAAGAAAGAAATACACACAGACACACACACACACAAACACATGGGTGCACACCAACGCATTCCCCCGCTTCCTCCTTACCTGTGGGGCTGCACCACACTGGGGGCAGAGGCCTCAAGCTCCTCAGGAGAAGAGGAACTCTCAGGAGGTGCCCCCCGCTTCACCAGAGCCAACACACTCACTGTAGGGGGCAGCCAACTGGATGGTCTCCTGGAGGAAAGGAGACAGACTTACAGGGGTCACCCCACCTCTGGCTAAAGAACGCAGGGAGGGAGGGAGAGGCTGAAGGGCTTGATGCAGTTCACATGAGATCAGTAATGTGTCGCTACTGAGGAAAGAGTAGCAGCTGCGGGACAGACACCTTTAGGGTGATTATGGAAGTGACAAAAAGGTCTGCAAGGCCGGAAGGCCCACACGGGGCCTGTGGAAGTGGAAGGGTCTACACAGGCTCAGAGATCCAGACGGTCAGCAGAGGGGCCCCGAGGTCACTAAAGCACCACCAGTAGTTATGCCCTAGGGTAGCCAGGCTTCTTCTTAAAGGACCAGATAGAAAATATTTACATATTTTAGGCTTTTAAGGCCAAGAGGCAAAATCGAGGACATTATGTAACCATTTAAAAATGTAAAAACCATTTTTAGTTCACAGCTGTAGAAAAAGAAACTGCCAGCCTCTGCCCTGGAGGATCACTAAGGTGCTTCACCGGGACTCTGAGGGGGTCAGAAAGGCAACGACGGGCCAGAAACCCCATTACCTGAACTTTAGGGTTCCACTCTCAGTTTCCATGGGGCCTCCAGGCACTCCAAACAGTCTCCCCAGCCACACGCCTCTGCCTGGGGCCGCTTCTTCTGTTGGGAGCGGTCTCTCCTGTGCTCCCTCAGCTGCAGTCCCATGACGCCTGGGTCCCCACCGGGGAAGGGGGAAGCCCTGGGTGCCTCCAGAGGCGTAGACTTGGGAGGCCTGGGTCAGCTGCTCCCACCAGCCTCCTGATGTGGGAGGGCTTGTAGGGGCTGCGGGGGCCGGGGGGGCCTCCCCCGAGGCCCCCCGAAGGCTCTGGGCCAGCCGGCCACCCCAGTGCAACAGGGCCTGTACAGTCTGCTGCAGGGCTGGCGGCGGGCTCGGGGGCGTGGGGGCCTGAGGTGGGCCCAGGGGCAGGTGGTGGTGATGTTCAAAGAGCAGGTCCAAGTGAAAGGTGAGCACCGACAGGGGCTGCAGCAGGAGCAGCAGCTCCGTGGACAGGGAGGGGCAGCCGCTCTGTGCCAGGGAGAAGAATCCCGTGGGCAGGTACAGGAGGGACAGCAGGCCTGGGAAAGGGCAGGCCCACATGAGTCCCCACCCTGAGCTGGAAGGCTCCCCGCCAGTCAACCAACATCCTCCCGGGCCTCCCTCTACTGGGCACTGGGGTGGGGGCACGTGGCGGGGTACAGGGCTGACACATGTGGTACCATAGCTATTCCGGCATCCAGGGAGACACACACAGAGAAAGGGGTGACATGTAACGAGTAACAGCGTACAGGCCAGGAAAGAGAACGGCGTGGGGGCTACGGGAGCACGCACAGAACTGGGGCTAGGGGCTGGCCTAGCCTGAGGGCAGCTCTCTGAGGAAAACCCGAAGGATGAATGCAAGTTAACAGAGAAGCAGTGAAGGGCCAGGAAGACCTGTTCTGGGTGGTGGAGGGGGCAGCATATGCCAGGTTCTGGGGCAGAGAGGACCAGAAAGGAAGACTGTAGGCAGGACCAGGGAAAGGCGGGGGCCCACAGCGGGGAAGAGGGCAGAGGCCGGATGACCAAGGCTTTGGTACACAGTCAGGACTTGGGCCTTTTCTCCTACGGGCAATGGGACTCCTTGGAATCATTTTAAGCAGAAGAGTAACAAGATCAGAGATCTGGATTAAGAAGATGATTCTGGCATCAGCGGGAACCAGCGAGAGAGATCCCTTGCCGTCCCTCCCTCCCAGCCCAGCAACCTTGCCCTTCCCTCTGACCTGCATCTTCCTGGAGACTGGAAAACCACAGTTCCAGCTGCTTAGTGCTGGGGGAGAAAGCAGGGACAGAAGTTCAGGATGGTGGGGGGCCCCAGCCCTCTCTGGGTGGCAGATGGGAGATGAATTAGGAGAAGAGACGCTCTCTCTGGGGACATGAGGCACCACTCTTGTGTCCCACCCACGAAGCCCCTATGGCTCCCGGGCCAGGGGAGGGGCCCCAGGAAGGAGACAGCCACTCACTTGAGGAGGCCCAGGATGAAGGCATGGAAGCGGCTGCGGCTGCTGCTCAGCGGGGCCAGACGGCTGATCTGACTATACAGGCTTCCCAGGGCGCGGGTGCTGGAGCCTGAGGACACGGGGGATGGTCAGCCAGGCCCCGGCCCTGTCCCAGCCCAAGTCCCACCCCTCCTCCCTCACCTGGCTTCACCGACGCCTCCACCACACTCCAAGGGCTGCTCCTTCGCTGCCCCGTAATGAGGTCCTTCCGGAAAGGCTTCAGCCCGTCGGCCACCAGGGCGTGGAGGGCCGGACAGAGGGTGGTCAGCACCAGGTGCCCCACATCTGGGCTCAGCCGGCTATCCCCCAACTGGGCCTGCAGCAGCGTAGTGGGGATGGGTCCAGAGATACCCCCAGCCTCCTCGCGCCAACAGTTCCTGCGCCCCCAGAGCTACATTAAGTGCCCCCCAACACACAGGCCGCAAGCCTCCCCACAGCCATCTTTACCTTCTGAACCAAGTTGCGGGCGGCCCCGAAGTGCGAGATGATTTTATCCACGGAAGCGCTGACGGCTATCAGGAGACCTGGGAGGGAGGTGGGGGCAGGAGGAAGCATCAAAGCCCTCTCTCTCTTCCTGAGCCCTACCCACGGGGCACCCCCCCTCCCCCATCCAAGAGAACAGTACATTAAGAAAACTGGTTTATGAACTTGGAGCCGCAACAAGGAGGACAGGAGTCAGAAACGGGTTTTCTACCTTTTTTCTGCTCCTGCAGCCGGCCAGTCCCACTCTGGGCTTCTGCCATCCACAGCCGCTGCGCCCCGGGGACACCGGCGAACGACCAGGAACTACGGACTGGGGTGAGGGAAGAAGGACGCGGTGACACTTACCGTGGGGTGCCCCGAGGATTCCGGGTTCCCACACCGATCATCTCCTGCGGGTCTGCAGCGCCCTTGCCCCGGAAGGGTCTTGGGGAGAAGGGGCGCAGGGCCGGGAGTAGCACTGGGCAGCTCGATCCGGGCCCCGGAGTGAAATCCCAGCACTAGCCGCCCCACGGCACTAGCCGCCCCCCGGGCTCCCATTTCCCTTCTCAGGGCCCAGCTCCCACCTCCACGATCCCGGAAGTCCCTGACTCAGGGAAGCAGCGCTCTCCTCCCGCCCGCCAGCCCCGCTGGCGCCTGCAGGGCGGGAGCTGATAAGGCAGGGGAGGGAGCACCAGCCCTGCGCCCGGCCCGGACCCCCGGCCCGGACCCCCGGCCCGCCCGCGGAGGCCCGGGGAGCATGTGGGGAGCCTGAACCAATGGAAAGACAGACAGACGGGAAAGGGAGGAGAGTCAGAGGGAGACGGAACTCAAAGATCGGGAGACTCAAAGGCGCCGCAAAGGGGAAACCCCGGCCCATGCCTGCATTTCCGCGGAGGGCGCCCCCTGCAGCCCACGAAGGGCGGGCCGCATGGGGGTGGGCGTGGCCAGAACCTCTCTGGCCAATGAGCTCTAGGGAGCGTCCCCCTCTTCTCGAGCAAGGTGGGGGTCAGGCCTGAACTGCACGGGCCAAGAGCTTCCACACCAGAGGGTATAACCCAAGGCCCCTAACAATGGACAGGCTGGGACCCCTAGACAGGGTATGGAAGCCGGGTAAGCCCGCGTACCCTACGCCTTAGGCGAACCTGGCGGGAGAGGCGAGCCGCCCTATCCCAGCTCGAGAAGCGGGCAGGCTGAGGGGTGGAGCCAAGCCGGGCAAAGCTCGAGCTGAAGCTCATGGCCGGACAAGGCTGGGTGGGGCCAGGGCGTGGCAAGGGGTGTGGCCGTGGAGTGGGCGGGGCGGCCCCGCCTCCGGGCTGGCCCGGGTCGGTCTTACGTAGCCTGGGCGGAGGCGGTGGGCTCCTGATCCAGCGAGGGGCCTTCAGCGGACGAGGTGGCGGTGGCAACGGGGGGGCGGGTACCTGGCGGGATGGGGGAGCCGCGGCGGGGAAGGTGCTACTTCTGGGAAAGAGCGGGGACAGCAGCAGTGCCAGCTCGGGGCTGGCCAGGCAGGGCAGGGTCCCCCGAGCCGGAGGCGAATAGGCTCCCACCGGGGACAGGCGGACAGGCAGCAGCTGCTCCTCTGGGGGGCTCGGCGCCCGCAGCAGCCGCAGCCCAGCGCCGGGCCAGCCGGCCAGAGGTGCCAAGAACAGAGACCCAGCTGCGCCCGCGCCCCCACCCTCCAACAGGGGGCGCCCGTCGGCCGAGAACCGGAAAACCAGGGGCCGAGGGAGCAGGAGGGGACTGGCTGCAGGCGGGGTTGGCGGGGCAGGCGTGGAGTGGGAGGGGGGTCAGCGGGACGGGCAGCCAGGCGAGGAGGGGGCGGGAGAAAGAGGGAGCAAAGAGTTAGTCCCGTAAGCCAGTCACCCACCCAGTCCCTTTCCCGGAGCGTTCCCTGATAGAAGGGGACGGGGAGGGTGAGTGACACAGAATGGAGGGGAAACGGGCCGATTGAAGGCTCGGGAGTGTGAGCGAGGCCGAAGCCCAGCCCTCCTCCCGCTTCCTCTCGTGGTCTCTTACCCTGGAGGCCGGCCTGCACGCTGGATTCCTCCGGCTCCTTCGCAGCCGGGGCCTCCTCGCCAGCCGCGGGGCTGCCCGCCCTGACTTCCTCGGGCTGCCCCTCCGCTATGGGCTGCAGCCCTTGCAGCCCCGGTCGGTTCTTCTTCCTCCGCGGAGGGACAGGTGGGGGTGGCGGCCGGGGCGGGACCAAGGCCCAGCCAGCTGGGGGGTCTCGGGGCGGGACTGGCGGGGGCGGGGCCCGGCTTCGGGACCGGAGTTCCTTGAAGGTGGTGACTTCCCGGGGAGGCGCCGGGGAGCTGCCCAGCGACCCGGCAGGGGGCAGCTCGGTGTCGGGCGAGAAGACAATGAGCCAGTCGCTGCGGTCCTTCTTGGCCTGCGGCACGAGGGGCAGCCCTGGGCCCCGCTTGCGCTTCTGGGCCAGTTCGTGGAAGGATGTGATTGTCCGGTGGGGCACCGGCTCCTCGCTGACGTCACTTCTCCATCCTCCGTCAATTTTCCCCGCATCAGTTTTCGAGCCAGAATCAGTTTTTCCCGCACTGGTTTTCCAGCTGGAGTTGAGTTTTCCAGGTTCAGTTTTCCAGCTGGAGTTAATATTCCCATTGATTTTCCAACCAGAGTTATTGTTGTCAGTGATCTTCCAGCCAGCCTCCGTTTGCTCTGTGTCAATTTTCCAAATGGGGTTGATTTTCCAACTGGGCTCCGGTTGCTCGACGTCGACTTTGCCATCATCCACCTCTGGGAGCTCTCCGCCCTCGTCCTCTTCCTCCAGCCCTGGGGAAGGGAGGTCCTGGCTGGTGGTCAGGGCGTTGCAGTTGGAGTCCAGGCCAGGGCCCGGTGGGGAGGAAGCTCCCGAGCAGGAGTCAGAACAGCAGAAGCTGTCCGGCGAGCAGCCGGCGGGGCCTGCCGAAGCTAGCTGGGAGCCCTGCTCCAGGGGAATGTCGCTGGGCTGTGGGTAGGCATCCTTGTCCTTGTCACCAGGGAGGTCCCGCAAGTAGACTGAGACTGGGGACTCATCGGGGCTAAGATCTGAGCAGGAGCTGAGAGAGGAGGAGCAGCCCGTGTCCGAGGGAGAGGCAGCCCCCTCTTCCTCCTGCGAGGGGTCCTGCCGGTTCTCTAGGCCAGGGCCGTGCTCCTGACAACAACGGCAGGGCACGGCGGGGCTGTTGGAATTGGCGTCCACCACAGTCCCGCTGCAGGGGCCCCTGCTGTCCTTGCCCCCGGTGTCCCCTGGGGGAGGAGATGTGCTCGGGGGCCCTTCACGTAACTCGGGACGGCGGGACAAGTGCAGACCCAGGGAGACGTGCTGGAGGTGGATGTGGTTGAGGTTGCAGAGTAAAGCCCTCTGAGGGGACAGCATGGTGCCGCGGCGACGGGATGGCCTGGAGAGAATCAGGAAGGTCGGGCCTCTCACATCCACCTACCTGGCAACCGCAGATGCAGACCTAGGAGACGGGTGGAGAAACCCAGCCCGTGAGGGCGCGAGTCGCGTGAAGTCACACCAAGGTGACTGACCAGGCATGGGAAGGCACCGGATGCTTTGGACGATATTTACATGGCATGCAAAGGGATATTGATTGGCCATTAGTTCCCACTGCAGTGTTTGGAGGTGGAGTCGAATTTAAACCCCCGGGAGTGGTGCGGGGAGGGTCAGAGAATGCGGCTGCGCTCTGGCTCTGGTTCTCCGCCGGGGTGCGGGGGCTTGGAAGAGGATGGGGCTCAGAAGGGACCCCCGGGTGCTCTCTGCAGCAATGTGGCCCAGCCCCAGCCTGCTCCTAACTCCCAGAGGAAGGAGCCAAGGGGGGCCCTGCGGAGATGCTCTGAAATGGGGCCGGAGGCAACGCGACACGTCTGGTTAATGCGGGAAAGGGGCGGGAGGGGGGGAGCGATGAAGAGCAGCTGTCCGTTCGTCAACTCCACATTTGCATGCGGCCCTGCGCCAACCCCGCCAGGTCCAGCCTGCAGCGGCGGTGCGCCCTCACCCCGCCCTGAGCACCGGTGTGTCGGTCCATCCTCTGCCTACTGGTCTCCATCAGCCAGCCACCACCCCACTCCTTCTCTATTCATTCCTTCTAGCTCCCTTCGCCTGCCTCACCCCGCATACCCTGCTCCATCCACCCACACCCACGGGCCGGGCCCTCCTCACCAGGGTCCTCCGGCAACCGCTCCCAGCCTTGGGCTCGTCTGCTGCTCCCACGGTCCCCGCCCGGCCGGAACAGACCAGAGGGGAGGGGGATGGAGGCGGCGGGGCGCCAGGCCAACCCACCCGGAGCTGCGCAGCCGCGCCCCTTCACGCAGGGGCGGGGCGGGGTCCGGACCGCCCCCCAGCGCTTGACGTCTTGCCTGTGTCATCCACCTAGACCCAGCGAGCTACTTTTGTTGGCTCCTAAGGCCCCACCCGGCTTGTGGTCCCTGGGGGGCCTGGTGCCAAGGCCCTAGGTCCCAGCTTCCGTGCGGCTCCCCCACCCGCCACAGCACGGTGAACAGAGGCGGCCGACTGGCATAAGCAAGAACATAACCGCAGTCAGGTGAAACAAGAATAATTTATTGAGGGCCTCCCCTCCCTGCCCTGGCGATCTCTGGGTTACTTTTTCCGCTTGTAGATCTTGCATGCTAGCCCCAGGAAGATGGCGGGGGGCAGGGGCGCAGCATACTGCTCGATGAGGCCCATGAGGCAGCTGTAACTGTCTTCCTCGTATTGCCTGAACACAGCAGGCAGCTCCAGCTCCTCATACAGCGCCTTCACCCGGGCCACCTTCTCGGCCTCCTTCTGCCCATAGTTCTCCTGGAAGGAGTTGGAGACAGGAAGATGGGCTTTGCCTTCCCCCAGCACCTCCAGGATTTCTCCGTACCCCCGCCCAACCACACATTCCAGAACATCTCCAAGGCCACTCACTCCACTCCGGCCTCCAATTCCAAGTTTGTCTCTGGGTGTCTAAGATCCTGGACCTCCCCCTCCTCCTCCCAGATGTTCCAGTATTGGCTCAGGCCTCAGCTTCCTCTCCTGCAGGGTTTCTCCCGCTATTGCCATTTTGAGCCCGGTCATTCTTTGTTGTGGGGGCTGTCTGTGCACTGCAGGATGTTTAGCGGCATCACTGGCATCTGCGCACTAGACAGATGCCAGGAGCACGCACTCTCCTCCCTGCCATTGAGTTGTGACACCAAAACATGTCTGCAGACATGGCCAAGTGTCCCACGGGGGACAGAACCACCCCCAGTTGAGAACCACTGCTCTATCCCCTTTCTCATCAGCCCGGGGACCCAAGACCCTCTCCTGGGCACCTGCAGGATCTGGCGCTGTTCCGGAGAGGCTCGCTGCAGGCACTGAACCACGAGCCAGCTGCATTTGTTGTCCTGGATGTCAGTGCCAACCTTGCCTGTCACACTGGGGTCACCAAAGAGGTCAAGGTAATCATCCTGGGCAAGGGGGCAGAAAAGGGGGAAAGAATGAAGAGGCTCCCCGGCCAAGAAGGAGGAGAGTTGGTGCCTGTCCTCTGCCAGGGCCTCATGCCTTCCTACCTGAATCTGAAAGAACTCTCCCATCTCCAGCAGGATCTTCTTGGCATTGGCGTGCTCCTCCTCCCCGTCAATGCCCGCCTGAAGGGAAAAGGGGCCTGAGAAGCCAACCCTTTGGAGGGGCCTTCGCCTTCCTGGCTGCTTCCTCCGTCGGGTCTTGGCCTAGTGCAGACCCAAAACCTGCTCTCCTCTCACATATTCCTCGCCTACCTGATCTAGGAAGTCTGACCACTGGTCCAAAAATTCCACTCTAAGAATCCATTCTGGAGGCCCTCAGACCATCTTCTCTCTCAGGTCTCAGTTCCCCCAGTCACTTTGCTCCATCTTCCCAATCTTTCTGCCACCTCCAACTGTTTTCAGGATGAAAAGAAACTTGGGGAAGCAAGGTCAGAGCAGGCAGTTCATCTACTGACTGCCCTCAAATCCAGTCTTCTTCCTCTTGGTTGGAATTCTCTCTTCCCTGCTCCTGCCGCTACTGTGATACAAGACGTATTCTTCTGGGATGGGTTGAGCATACCCCTCGCCTCGATTAATCTTTACAACTACCCTGTGAGGTAGGAATTTTATCCTCAGATTCCAGCTGAGGAAGCAGATTCAAAGAGGTTAAGTGACTCATTCCAGGTCACTGCCATTCAGTGAGGGCACCTCATCGTCCTGTTGTCTACCCTTCCCAGCTTCCTTCCTCACTTTGCTTTCCTTTCCCTTCCAAAAACCCTAGGTATCTCCTGTGCCCTCCTGCCCACATCAGCAGGCAGCGAGGGGTGGGGGAGAGACTCACTCACCATATACATTGCAGCAGCTACAGGAAGGTAAAAGGAGTAGAAAGCTGTCTTGTACTTGACAATGGATTTGTACCTAAGTCGAGAGAGAAGACAGAACTCTTCAGAAGGGCAGTGCTCACCCTGGGTCTTCCCTCACTGTCCAGACACGATTCCCGCTGTCCCTCACCTCTTTTCAGTGAACCTGTCGAGGTCCACGTCGCCCTGGGGGGCAGTGATGAGGTCCAGGGTCTGTCCAGTCTCAGTCTGATACGTAGTCTAAGGAGGAAGGTTGCCCGTGAGCTGGGCCATCTCCAAGGACTGAGAACCCTGCCATCCTGGACCCCACATCCCATACCAGCTGACAACTGGGCAGCAGGAGGAAGAGAATGCCCCTGCTGGGACCAAGGAACCCTCAAGGCCCACATTCACGTGCATGCACGCACACACGCACGCATACACACACACACACTTGGCCGTTCAAAACCAGCCCTCCTTGGAAACCCTATGGGGCAGTTCTGCTCTGTCCTATAGGATCCCTATGAGTTGGAATCAACTTGACAGCAATCACACAGGGACAGAGAGGCCCTCCTTGTCACCTCACCAGTACCCTTCCCAACTCCCTTCCTTGCTTTGCCTTCTTTCCTCTTCCAAGAAACCCTAGGTATCTCCTGTGCCCTGAAATCAGCTCGATGAGAATGTCCCACAGAGGCCAAGGCTACTGTGGACTGCCTCTAGGATTGAGCCTGGTCTGCAGCACACCTGCAGGAAGAGCTCGATCAGGTTCAGATAGTAGGGCTTCTCCCGGCAGTAGAGCTTCAGCAGGCGGTAGATACACGCTTCCATCAGCAATGCGTCATTGATGGCATCCAAACCTATGCCTGGCTGTTGGGGCCAGAGAGAAATGAGCAATCAGTCTCTGGCCTAGCCTCATACCAAGAACCATCACCCCACACACATCAGTCAGGCTGTAGGTAACCACCCCCTTCAGCCTCCCGCTTCCCTGTAGTAAGAAGCATGCTACCTCCTGCCCGCTTTACCTTCTTATACCAGCAGAGCTGTCCCCGTCGGGTAAGGGATGAATCCATTATGTCGTCCAGTACCAGGAAGAAAGCTTGGAGCTAGGAAGAGAAGGAAGAGTGGGATAAGAGCCTTACTGTTGCTTCTACCAGAGGCAGAGCTGCTTTTGATAATCATCCTCGCCTGCTAACCGAAAGGCTGTCGGTTCAAACCTACCCACCAGCTTTGTAGCAGAAAGACCTGGCAATTTGCTTCCATAAAGGTTACAGCCAAGAAGACCCTATGGGGTGACTCTTCTCTATCACACGGGATCGCTATGAGTCAGAATCAACTCAACAGCACACAACAGGAGGTGGGAGAAAAGGTCAGGATGGGGAGACCGAGCCCATCTCCTCTGTGCTGTGGGACCTTAGAGAAGTTACATGACCTCTTTGACTCAAACTCCCCATCTATAAAATGGGACTAAAGAGTAAGAGACGAACACAGACCTCTGCATCTTTAGACAATCAGCCGTAAACAACCCCTAGCACCAGAAAGATTATGGAACACCTTCACAAACTGTACTCTTCTCTTACCAAAAGCTGCAGTGGGGGCTTCGAGGAAGATTTCTGCACACAGCTGGACTTTACATGACTTCTTACACAAACAAAGGCTGTTCCTGCTTCGTCCCCAAGCTCTCAGCTTCAGCCCTCCAGCGACCAGGAACACCGCCCCACCCGAGCCAGCCCACTTGGCGGTGCAGGTCCGGTAGGATGGAACTGAAGTCTGACTCCTGGTAACTTCCACCCCTGGGTCTGAGCTCTGCACTCTAGAACATCAGCAAGGGACTGACTCTTCGGAGGGCCAGCCTACTGGAAGGCAGCTCAATGTGTCTGTTCCCCCACTAGACTGTGAACACCTCAGAGGCGGCAGCTGCGTTTTCTCTCTTGGCACTCCCAGGGCCTAGCACAGGACTAGCCCCAGAGTGGGGGTTCAATAAACATTTATTGAGTGAATAATTAAAAGAATGTAAACCCACATGTCCCTCATGATACTTCTGGCAGTCAGGCTACACATTCGGTTTCCTTAAGCAGCTTTTCAAAACATGGTTTTCAAATCCTCCCCCTATCCTGGTCCCTGTGTGTCCTCTTGTGGGTCTGTACTGCTCAGAGGAAATACCAGCTCTGCCCATAGGCTCAGCTGTGGGTGTTGTGGGAAGGGACAGTGCGACCAGTGCTCTTGTTCCGGGCGCAGCCCTTGGAGAAGGAGGCGTTCATCCGCACTTGATCTCTGACCTCACAGCAAGCCACCCATCCACTGCCTCTCCCAGGGGCGATGGCAAGGGCAATTTAGTTTCAGCCACCACCACTCACCTAGGGTTGTCTCCAAGAGGCATTCATTCAGGAGCCCTCTTCAACCTCCTCCACCTCCCAGCAGTGATTCTTAATACCAAATGCAATATCATGTTATCATCATGCAACATCATCATCAACAGAGAAAATACTGAAGTTGTCAAGGATTTCGTTTTACTTGGATCCACAATCAACGCCCATGGAAGCAGCGGTCAAGAAATCAGATGACGTACTGCACTGGGCAAATCTGCTGCAAAAGACTTCTTTAAGGTGTTCAAAAACAAAGATGTCACTTTAAAGACTAAGGTGCGCCTGACCCAAGCCATAGTATTTTCAGTCGCCTCATATGCATGTAAAAGCTGGACAACGAATAAAGACCAAAGAAGACTTGATGCCTTTGAATTATGGTGTTGGCGAAGAATATTGAATATACCATGGACTGCCAGAAGACTGAACAAATCTTTCCTCGAAGAAGTACAGCCAGAATGCTCGTTAGAAGCGAGGATGGCGAGACTTCATCACACATACTTTGGACATGTTATCAGGAAAGACCAGTCTCTGGAGAAGGACATCATGTTTGGTAAAGTAGAGGGTCAACGAAAAAGAGGAAGATCCTCAAGGAGATAGATTGACACAGTGACTGCAACAAAGGGCTCAAACATAGCAATAATTGTGAGGATGGTGCAGGGCTGGGCAGTATTTCATTCTGTTGTACATGGCGTCACTATGAGTTGGAACTGACTCAACAGCACCTAGCAACAACGGCAACAGTGCCAGAGTCCACCTCTGATCGATTACGTGAGGCTCTCTAGGGGTGGTGCCTCAGCATCAGGGAGTGTTTTATTTTTTTTTAATTTCCCCACGTGTCATGGATTGAATTATGTCCCCAAAAAGTGTGTGTATCAATCTGGCTAGGCCATGATTCCCAGTATTGTGTGGTTGTCCTCCATTTTGTGGTTGTAGTTTTATGTTAAAGATGATTAGGGTGGGATTTTGTAACACCCTGACTAAGGTCACATCCCTGATCCAAAGTAAAGGGAGTTTCCCTAAGGTGTGGCCTGCACCACCTTTTAACTTACAAGAGATAAAAGGAAAGGGAATCAGACAGAATTGGGGACCTCAAACCACCAAGAAAACGGTGTCGGGAGCAGAGTGTGTCCTTTGGGCTGGAGGTTCTTGCGCAGAGAAGCTCCTAGTCCGGGGGAAGACTGATGACAACAAGGACCTTCCTCCAGAGCCAACAGAGACAGAAAGCCTTCCCCTGGAGCTGACGCTCTGAATTTGGACTTGTAGACTACTAGACTGTGAGAAAATAAATTTCTCTCTGTTAAAGCCATCCACGTGTGGTGTTTCTGTCAGAGTAGCACTAGATGACTAGGACAATCAGTAAGTGCTTCAAGTCCCTTCACATTCAGCAAGGAAGGTTGTGTCATCTGCATATCACAGGTTAATGAGTCTGCCTCCAATCCTGATGCCACATTCTTCTTCATATAGTCCAGCATCTCGGATTATTTGCTCAGCATACAGACTGAATAAGTATGGTGAAACCTTTCCTGATTTTAAACCATGCAGTATATCCCCTTGTACTGTTCAAATGACTGCCTCCTGGTCTATGTACAGGTTCCTCACGAGCACAACCAAGTGTTCTCGAATTCCCATTCTTCACAATGTTATCCATCATTTGTTATGAGCCACACAAATGCCTTTGCATAGTCAATAAAACACAGGTAATCAAGTATATGACCTGCCCCAAAACACCTGCTTAAAACAAAGACAAGAAGGCAGGAAGGGACAGGAAAACGGGGCAAACAGAACTGGGGAACCCAGGGTGGAAAGGGAAAGGGGGAGTGTGCTGATACAATGTGGGATTGCAACCAATGTCACAAAATGACTTGTGTATAAATTTTTGAATGAGAAACTAATTTGTTCTGTAAACTTTCACCTAAAGCACGATAAAATAAAACACAGGTAAACATCTTTCTGGTATTTTCTGCTTTCAGGCAAGATCCATCTGACATCAGCAATGATATCTCTCGTTCTACGTCCTCTTCTGAACCTGGTTTGAATTTCTGATAGTTTTCCGTTGATGTCCTGCTGCAACCATTTTTTTAATTATCTTCAGCAAAATTTTACTTGTGGATGATATTAATGATGTTGTTCGATAATTTCTGCATTCTGTTGGATCACCTGTCTTTGGAATGAGCACAAATATGGATCTCTTTCAGTCGGTTGGCCAGGTAGCCGTCATCCAAATTTCTTGACATAGATGAGTGAGTGCTTCTAGCATTGCATCTGTTTGTTGAAACACCTCAATTGATATTCCATCGATTCCTGGAGCCTTTTTTTCACCAATGCCTTCAGTGCAGCTTGGACTTTTTCATTACTAATAGTTCTTAATCATGTCACCTCCTGAAATGGTTCAATGTGGTCGATCAGTTCTTTTTGGTACAGTGATTCTGTGTATTCCTTCCATCTTCTTCTGATGCTTCCTGTGTCATTCAATATTCAATATTGTGCCCATAGAATCCTTCAGTATTGCAACTCGAGGCTTCAATTTTTTCTTCAGTTCTTTCAGCTTGAGAAATGCTGAGTGTGTTCTTCCCTTTTGGTTTTCTAACTCCAGGTCTTTGCACATTTCATTATAATACTTTACTTTGTCTTCTTGAGCTGCCCTTTGAAATCTTCTGTGCAGCTCTTTTACTTCATCATTTCTTCCATTCGCTTTAGCTAGTCTACGTTCAAGAGCAAGTTTCAGAGTCTCTTCTCACATCCATTTTGGTCTTTTCTTTTGTCGTTTTAATGACCTTTTGCTTTTGTCATGTATGATGTCCTTGATGTCATCCACAACTCATCTGGCCTTTCGTCATTAGTGTTCGGCGCGTCAAATCTAGGCTTGAGATGGTCTCTAAATTCAGGTGGGATATACTCAAGGTCATACTTTGGCTCTCGTGGACTCGTTTTAATTCAGCTTCAACTTGAACTTGCATACGAGCAATTGATGATCTGTTCTGCAGTCAGTCCCTGGCCTTGTTCTGACTGATACCGACCTTTGCCATTGTCTCTTTCCACAGATGTAAGTCAACTTGATTCCTGTCATTTCTATCACCAAGGCCCATATTTTCCGACTACCATTCCTTCGCCTTTGTTTCCAAACTTTCGCGTTCCAATCACCGCTAAACGTCAATGTATCATGAGAACCACTGGTGATTGAAATGCAAAAGTTGTTAAATTGAGGAAACTTAATTTTAAAACATTTTCAAAAACTATCAGTGGGTGGCCAGTTTTCGATCTCTACTTTAGAAAAATCTTTTGGAAAGATTGTGTCACTTTTATGTCCTCTGCTCAGAGGAAAGAGCTGAGGTCTCTCTGCCCATTTCCAAGGCCCTGGTCCACAGTTGATCTACAGTTTCAGTACATACCTAATGGCAAAAAAGAGGGTCCACACATTTATTAACCCTTGAAGTACTTCACTCTGTCTAAGTTTGACTGTGGCACACTACAGAGGCACACAAACACAAATCAGAAAACAGTTTCAGGCCCATCCCGTAGCATCCCACCCAGGGCACCCCCCTCACCAGCTCCACACATCAGGCCCATCCCGCACCATCCCACCCAGGGCATCCCCCTCACCAGCTCCACACACCAGCCCACAGTCAGCACCCGCTGCAGACTATCAGCATCCTGCTTCTTTGGCTCCACTAGCTCCTGGAACGCTGCCAGCACCGTCAAACCTCGGTTATACTTGCCTCCAATGGCATTATACTCCAAGACCTGGGGGACAGAGGGAGACGGCCAGGGCATCAGGGTCCACACAGCAGCTCCTCTGAGACTTCTCCTTGCCCTCTCCCACTTCCAGCCACCACCCAACTTTATCCTCTCCAACCCCAATTCCTCCTCCAGGAAGTCTCTGGAATTGCTATCCTCTTCGCTCCTTACTCCAAATCCTGGAGCCCAGGTAGAAGAGTTCCGAAGTACCAAGGTGCTTGCTCTCTCTCCGCTCTGTATTCCCCAGAAAATTTAAAGGCTCCATAAAAACAAAAAAAAAACCCAAACCCCTTGTCATCTGGTCAATTCCGACTCATGGCAACCCTACAGGACAGGGTAGAACTGCCCCATTATGTTTCCAAGACTGTAATCTTTACAGAAGCAGATTGCCACATCTTTTTCCCATGGAGCAACTGGTGGGTTCAAACCACCGACCTTTTGGTTAGCAGCTGAGCACTTAACCACTGTGCCACCAGGGCTCCTAAGGCTCCATCAAAAAAATCCAAAACCCATTGCCATCGAGTCAATTCCGACTCATAGCGGCTCCATAGTACAGATTAAAATCTGTTCCCAAGCCCAGGATAGGGCTTGTGCCCAGGGGGATCTTTGAATATGCTCCGGGAATGGTTGGTTTGTTCAAATCCCCATCCCAATGTAGACAAAGCCCTCCCTCTTCCTTGGGTTTTGCAGTGCAGTGAGATACTTAATATGGCCCTTCTAGCCAGAGTCTTTGTAACTCCCACCAAATGACTGGGTGGGGCTATGCAAATGAGGTGCTTATGGCCCACCAAGGGGATTGGCTAGCCTGCTAATAATGTAAATAATGTGCATGGCACCCTTGTGGGGGTAGGACCATGCAAATAAGGTGTATGAAACCCTAACATGGGGATTGGTCAGTTCTGCCATCCCGCTAGGCTTAAAAGGAGCCATCCCAGAGGCAGGAAGGGAGGATCTCAACACCACCAAGAGAGAAGAGCCAGGAGTGGAGTGCGTCCTTTGGACCAAGGATCCCTGTGCTGAGAACCTCCTAGATCCAGGAGACAGAGAGGCACTGTAACACAGAAGACAGCAAGAGATGGCGGCACAAGATGGCAGGAAGGAATCAGGTGACGGGCATGAGATGGCTGTGATGGGGCTTCCTGGCCTGTGGAGCAAGGACGTTGAGCACCTTCGGGCAGGACACTTACTGGCAGAGTAGGGTACCTCTGGGCACTTATCGGTAGAGCTAAAAGAGCTTTGTGACACTTACCCAAGCTGGGCAGAGACTGGGCCGAGGAGCCAAGAGGCTGAGAGAACAGAGAGAGGTGTGCCTGCGGGAAGAGGCTATCCTGATGGAAGAACTATATCCTGAATTGTAACCTGTTACTTCCCTAATAAACCCGACAATTGTGAGTATTGTCTGTGAGTTCTGTGTGGCCACTGCAACAAATTACTGAACCCAGCAGAGAAGCAGAGTGCCGTGGGAGGGATGGTTGGTTAGTGTCAGAATTGGTAAAGATGGCAGAGAGAGGATGTATGTCTGACCTCTGTCTCATAAGGATTCAGCCTTGGACCATTGATCTTGATTCTCCTTCCCCCTTGTAAAGATAAAGGAAGTCAGACGCCACCCCCACCATGCCATTTTTACAATTCCCCTTAGATAGTAGTTATAAAAAGAATTTTAGTAGTTACTCCAAGAGAATAAAAGGAAAGGAATCAGGCAATCCAAACATCACAGCAATAGTCTGTGTCCTAGAGCACAGGTTTCTGGTTGCAATAACTTTACTCAGGCCCCAAGGAGGCAGGATAACCTGACTGCCTTCCTCCCAGCTCCCTGCCAGGGTAGCGCCTTATGATTTCTGGACACCTAATGCCTTTTCTCACCCAAGTCAAAGACTCACCAGGTTCAAGGCCTCTACCCCAAGGTCCTCCACCCCTATGCAGAGCAGTTTGGAAAGCATGCTTTTTACCAGAGCCAAGTGGTGGGACTGATGGGCAAAATGAGTCTACCTGCACAGGCCCCACCTCCTTCAAGGCACACCCAGAGTGGCTCAGGTAAAATTCTCCCAAACCTGGCAAAAGTTCCCCGTATGCCGCAGCAGAATCTCACCCATATGCAGACTGACCAGAGACTCCCTCCCTCAAGTCACCGATCCCTCACCTCCTTGAGCCGGGCAATAGCATCTCCTGTCTCTGGCTGCCCCGTCTCCTCAGTCAGCACATTGAGAATCTGGGAGAAGTGCTGGATGAAATCCCGCTTTTCTTGGGCATAAGCGTCTGATTTCTGGTCTCCATTCATTCTGAGGGAGGAGCAAAGTGCTCTGAGGAGAGAAAGGACAAGTCAGAAACCCGATCAGCTGCTCCCCTCCCCAAGTCCCCTCACCTCCACCACACTCACCGAGGCTCCTCTGTCCACGCTTGGCACCAGCGGCGGGCACTGTGCCAGGCCCCCAGGACTGGGCACCCGTGCACCAGGGAGGGCTGCCGTAGGAGACCCAGCCACCTCACCCGGGGCGCCCAGCAGGGGGCTGGCAGCAGGAAGGCCCCCACATATCTCAGCCAGCGGGACGGAGGCATCGTGGGGGTGGCATGGGGAGGGGGTACCGAGCACTCCCTGCAGGGGCAAGGACCGATGGCAGATGCACGGTGGCATCTCCCCAGGTCACTCCCGCCCCAACCTTCTACCTCCTGGACCAGAATGCCCTGCCCTCTTGTGCGCTGAGCTTGGGACATTTACATTACGCAGGAAATACAAGGAGCAAAAAGTTTGACTGGGGTGACTGAGACTCGCCAACAGATTGCATTGAATGTTTTCAAGGCTGCGTGCACAAGGCAGGTGGAGGAGGAGGTACAGAGTGTAAAGAACCCCAGGACTAGGGCCTGGGAGGACCCTTCAGTCGCCTTTATTTCACAGAGGCAAACTGAGCCTCTAGGAGATACGAAGATAACTGGGCAGCGGCAAAGCCAAATCCAGAACCCAGATTTCCCCTGGTAGAAGGCGGAGAGGGGTGCGCAGGCTCTGAGCAACGCTCCTGTTAGAGGAGCAGAGGAACTGGGGACCGCAACCATGCGGTACTGCGGGCACGTGGTCTGGAGCGTTGGGACAGCGCACACGGCCTCGGAGCAATTTCGTTGGGAGAAACTTGAGCGGACAAGGAGGGTTCGCAGCAGAGGAGCAAATCGGGGTCCGGGCATACTGGGAGCACCAGAAACGCACACGGGCAGGGGACCCGCCAGTCGGACCCACAAGACCCCCAAAGCAGAGGAACCTCGACGCAACTGGCTTGCGTCTTGCGCCTCAGATCATCTCTAGACTGGGAAGGCCCAGTCTCGAACCCCTTCTCCAGTCCCAACCCCGCGACCTCTCTCACCTGTTCCTGTATGCCGGTTCTTGTTTGGTCCAGACTGTTGGCGGGATACTCCTAAAAGCCAAACCCGCCCCGCGCTCGGCTCTCTGGGTCGAGTAGTTCTCGATCTCCCTTCACTATTGGCAGAAATGCTTCGTTAGACTACAACTCCCGGCGTGCCGCGGGCGGGACGAAAACAACGCGATCTAGCATAGGATGACTGGGCGGAGGCGAGACGCGCTGATTGGCTGCCTCTCTCGTATGAGCATGGGCCCTGTGACGGACAACCAATGGAAAGGCTTCGCCTAGGAGGGGCGGGACCCGCCGGGGGTGGAGTCGAGCTGGGGCTAGCGCGGGGAGTCGCTGGGAGCGCACTAAGGCTGGGAACGGCATGTCTCGCTTGTACTTTCCTCCAGCTCTCAGCCTTATTTGCACTTCACTTTTCCTTATCTGCCTGTACTGCTGGACAGCATGTTAGTACAAGCCCAGCTTTTGCCACTTATTATTATTAGTTCCCTCACTTGGGAAAATCATTTCACTGCTCTGATCCTCGGTTAACTTCCAGTTGCTAAGGAGTTCACTCCAGCTCCTGGGTGTGTAGAGTAGAACTGTGCTCTGAAAGTTGATTTTTTGTTTTTATTTTCTCTGTTGTTTGCGAATTTTACTGTGAAGGAGAAGAAAAGTTGTGATGTGATTCAGAGCAAAAAGCTAATACAAATTTTTAACCACTGCCAATCAGTCAATGTTCTTTTCCCAAACAGTGTTTTGCTCTGTCCCCATTACTAAGAAACCTGTATTCTCCTTCCCCAGGACGCTTGAGTGACATTGCTGTTGCTAGATGCCTAGTCGATTTCGACTCACAGCGACCCCATGTGACAGAGTAGAATTGCCCCATAGAGTTTTCTTGGCTGTTATCTTTTTTTTTTTTCCTTTCTAATTCTATTGTGTTTTAGATGAAAGTTTACAGTGCAAATTAGCTTTTCATTCAAAAATGTATACACAAATTGTTTTGTGGCATTGGTTGCAATCCCCACATTGTGTCAGCACTCTCCCCCTTTCCCTTTCCACCACTCCAAAAATTTTCAATGGCTGATTTTTCAGAAGTAGATAGCCAGGCCTTTCTTCCGAGGTACCTCTTGGTAGACGTAACCCTCAAATCTTTTGGTTAGCAGCTGAGCACATTAACCTTTGGCACCACCCAGGGCCTCACTTCCCTGAAACAGGCTTTCTTCATCTGTTAAATGAGAATAATAATTACCATGAGATAACGTAGGTAAAGCGCTTTAAGAGCTCAAGAAAAGGTAGCGACAATGTTTTACAGAAACTAGAACCCACACATCTACACCCACAACCTGCCAGCCTGCCATCTCTTTTCCCCAATGCCTCTTTCTCCATTAACCCTGCCAAGTCCTCTCAGCCCCAGTAACCTGACACATCTGGAAAGATCCCTGGACCTCTGAACCATAACTTTGAGCCAAATGGGTTTCCTCATCATAGAACAAAAACCATTGTGCACACCATAGAGGAACTAGAGGGAGGTCCAGGAGGGTGTCATTGCAGAGTAAATCACAACCCAAGTGAAGGAGTGTGACATTGCTATCATGTGGTAGGGTTGGGTTTGCCAGGCCAGCCCACCTCCACTTTGGGAGTCTATAAATAAAAAATAGAAGCTCAGAGGAAATTGACGCCCCCACCCCACCCCAAATCATTCCATCCTTCCCTACTCAGTCCGATGAAGCTGGTCAGGCACAATGAGATCATTTCTTATATTGATATATAATTCATATACCATATAATTTACTCACTAACAGTGTACAATTCAATGTTTTATTTAGTATATTTACAAGGTTGTGCAAACATCAACACAATCTAATTTTAGAATTTTATCGTCTTCTGTTAAACAAACCCCTACTTAAAACCAGCTGCTCCCCATTTCCCACACTGCCCATGTAGTAGAGAAACACTGATCTGCTTCCTGTATCCATAGATTTGCTTATTCTGGACATTTCATATAAATACACCTATATCATTTTTGTAGCTCCAAATGAGCTAAAGGCATTCAGAAAATCCCCAGAGCTGCCCTTTGCAGTAGGTGGAGTTCTCAGAAGGAACCCCTAGAAGGAGTCCTGGATGGAAAATGGAAGCCAGAGCCCGGGGTGGGATGCCCCAGATGGGCAGCCTGGTTGTTGAAGTCCAGAGCCTTTTTCCCTTTTTTTATTCTCTCCACAAACGCTCTATTTAAGGAGTAGCTATTGAGTCACGCATCTGTGAAGTCTGCTTTCTCACACGCTCATTACCTCACTGAATCTTCACAGAAGTCCTTGTAAGATTCCGCCTTTAGCCTGAGGAGCTAAATGGCTTGGCAAAGCTTTAGAGCTTAAGAGTGGCAGAGCCACATCCGGAAGGCTTCATCTGCCTGGAAGTCTGCAGGTCTTTCCCTCACCACATCTGCCTCCACAGAGCCTATGGATTCTTCTCCCAAACCCACCTCATCCTTCCCTGGCCCCTGGTCATGACCGTGGCTCACTGTTCTCCCTCCTCCGTGCCTGGGCTCCCCTGGGGAGTGGAAATTACCAGGGGCCAACGTGGACCCCTGGTGGCAAAGTGGTTACGAGCTCAGGCTGCTCCCGAAGTCCACTCTTCAGACAAAGATTAGACTGGACTACAAAACAAAATAATACTCGTGAAGAGTGTGCTTCTTAGTTCAAGCAGATACACGAGCCCAAATGGATGGCTGCTCTCCGGAGGCAGGATGAGAAGGCAGGAAGGAACAGGAGCTGGTTGGAGGGACACAGGAACCCAGGGTGAAAAGGGGAAGTGTGCTGTCACATTGTGGGGACTGAGGCTAGTGTCACATGACAATATGTGTATAAAATTTTGTGTAAGAGATTAACTTGAGCTGTAACCTTTCACCTAAAGTACAATAAAAAATAAATAAATAAAGGGGGGAAAAAAGAGCTCAGGCTGCTAACCAAAAGGTTGGCAGTTCGAATCCAGGCGCTCCTTGGAAACCCTATGGGGCAGTTCTACTCTGTCCTATAGGGTCGCTATGAGTTGGAATCGACTCGACGGCACACAACAACAACATGGAGACTGGGGCTGAAGATGATTCAGGAAGGGGCAGAGGGCGCAAGGTACTGAGTCGAAGCAGAAGTGAGAGCTACAGGAGAGGAGCTTGTAGCTGACTCAATAACCACCGTCTTGTCTTCTGTGGTCTTACACAGGTCAGGTATCAGCTGCCAGGTAGCCCACCCTCAGAGAGAGGTACACTTAAAACAGGCCAGGAAGGGAAATGGATTCTAGGGGCTCAGTCCTTGTCTTTGCCAAGGTAGAGTGCGCTCTTTAGGCCCATTGCTGCCAGGGTTCAAATCTTGACTCCACCCTTACCAGCTGGGTGACCTCCAAGACAAGCCACATGACCTCTCTGAGTCTGCTCCAAATCTAAAAATGAAGCCTATTGATACCAGCATACGGTAGGTGCCTGTTATGGATTGAATTCTGTCCCCCAAAAATATGTGTTGTAAATCCTAACCTCTATGCCTGTGGTTCTAATCCCATTTGGGAATGGGTTGTCTTTATTATGTTAATGAGGCAGAAGTAGTGTAGGATATATGTTGAGTCAATCGCTTTTGAGAAATAAAAAGAGATAAACAAGCGAGCAGAGAGAGAGATGGGGTAAAATAGATGCCAAGACACGTGGAGATCCCCATGGAACCAGGAAACAGAAGCTGAAGAGACAAGGACTTTGCCTCCAGAGCTGAAGGAGAAAGCCTTCCCCTAGAGCCGGCACTCTGAATTCTGATTTCTAGCCTCATAAACTGTGAGAAAATAAATTTCTGTGTGTTAAAGCCACCTACTTGTGGTATTTCTATTATAGCAGCACTAGATAACTAAGACACCGTGTTAGGGTCTTCTGTGTCCTGAACATTATCACTTCCTCTAGAAGGCTGTAAAAATGGCACTGCGGCGTCAGGCCTCGTCTAACTTCACAAGAGAGAGGAGAAAGAATCAAGATCATCAGCCCAAGGCTGATTCCTATGAGGTGAAGGTGAAACACACCTCCACCCTCCAAATTTTTACCAATTCTGACACTAGCCGTCCCTCCCACAGCACTCTCTACTTCTCTGCTGCGTTGGATAATTCGTTGCAATGGCCACACAGAACTCACAGACTATACTCATGACTATGTGGTTTATTAGGCAGGTAACAGGTTACAATTTAGGACCAGGAACAACTCAAGATACACTTCTTAGATCAGGACAGCTTCTTCTTAGCTGTGCCCACAGGACCTTGCCCTCTGCCAGGCCTCTTGTTACAAAATAAGCTCTTTAGCTCTGGCAATAAGTGCCTGGAGGCATCCTACTCTGCCAGTAAGCCTCAGCCTGAAGGGGCTCAGCTCTCTTGCTCCCTGAGTCGGCATGCCCATTGTAGCCACCTCACTCCGAGGGCTGGCAAGCCCACCATGCCATCTCGTGCTGGTCTCCTGGTTCTGTTGCCGTCATTTCTCTGCTGCTACTTCTTGCCATCTCTGGTGTTACAGCTCTCTGTCTCCTGGGTCTAGCAGGTTCTTAGTACAGGGACCCTGGGTCCAAAGGACACACTCCTCTCCCGGCTCTTTTCTTACTGGTAGTGAGGTCCACTCTCTCCACTTCTGGAATTGACTCCCTTTAAGCCTAGTGGGACGGCAAAACTGGCCAATCCCCTCCTTAGGGTTCCATACACCTTATCTGCATGGTCCCACCCCCACAAAGATTCCATGCGTCTTATTTGAATTATTAGCAGGTCATCTAATCCCCTTTGTGGGCCACAAGCGCCTTACTTGCATAGTCCCACCCAATCATTGTGTGGGAGTCACAAACACGACAGCTAGAAAGGCCATATATTAAGTAATTCACTGTACTGCAAAGGTCTTCCCTCACTGGGTTAGGTGTCCCTCTATGTCTCTTTGTGACTACTGAGCCCTTTCCAGTCATAACTCTGATCACCAAATTCAGGCATTACCTGAGTTCTGGCCTGTCTTCCTACCACTTGGGACTTCTTAATGACAGGGACACATTTTCTTTTTTATCTCCCCAGAGCACAGCAGAGGGTCTGGCCCAACATTACAGTGGTGTGGAAATTATTTTGATTTTTTTTTTTTTTTTTTTTTTACAACATACCCAAAAATAGAGCAAATATTCTAATGAGCCTCTAGGTGCCTGTCACCCAACTTTCACACTTGTCAACAATTTGTCCATCTGATTT